AAGTTTTAGTTAGGATTTTGAGCATCATTTCGTTAATGGCATCAGATATAGGCTGAGGGAGTGATTACCTCATCTTCTACTTCTTCAGTCTTCTGTTGATGTCCCTGTATTGTACTGATAGTCACTGGTTAGCGAAATATCTACATTACATAGATACCCCAATGGAAATAAGTTACTTTATCTGACTTATCTGATTTTTTTTTGGAGTGGGGGGATGTTGTTATCCTAGATAATCTACATATATGCTATAATGTATAACAATTTGTGTAACTGTATTTGTGTACCTATACCTAAATCAACTAATCCAGTTGTTACACCTGTCTAAATCTTGAGGATATTGTCAGTCACGTATATAATGTACTCAGGAATAAAGTGTAACGCAAGATGAAGCTCAGAGGAAATACTTGTCATGATTTCACCTTCCTTCACAAGATACTCGGGGCTACACACTGTATAAGCCCGGGTAAGAAACTCGTGTAAGATAGGCTGAAGGCACTGTGAATTTACACTCGTGTATTCCTCAAACCTTACGTATCGTATACTCCATCTCTGTAATCTCATGTACCTTAGGCCTTGTGTACTATATTACATAATAATCATCGAATCTTGCCACAAGCAGCGAACGTCGAAAGAGATTTTGGAATGCTTAACAGTTTGCAAACAGGCGAAATTATTTACAAACATTATCTCTCAGGTTCGAATCTTGCTTTGGACTGAGAGAGAATGTTTGTAAATAATTTCGCCCATTCGCGAATTGTTAAGCATTCCAAAATACCTTTATAAATGCTGAACATCAACGGGACATGACTGAAGTGCACAAGTGGGAAAACGGAATAAAAATGATGTAAATATAGTGCTGAAAATGTGTAACCATTAAAAAACTCTCAATATCTGGCTCTAGTTGCATAAATTTACATTTAGAAAGACTAAGTAACGCACTACTTTGGCAATAGAGTTGTGGATTTGTGGCACCAACTACCAGGTTGAGTCAATGAAGTGAGAGCTTCGGGCAGCTTTTAAAATTGACTGGATAAATACATAAATGTTTGAAAGTGGTTGGGCCAGTAGGCACACTGCAGTGCTCCTCTATTCTTCTCTTCTAATACTGGACAAATATGAGGAACACAGAAGTAGGCTAGTTAGTGTAACACAGAACTTGGCAAGTTAAGAGGAACACAGAAATTGACAAGTTAGAGAGGTACTGGGCAACAGAGAAAGAGGTTCACTTTGCTGAAGAACTGGGAAAGGGAGTACAAATACAGAGTAGTGAATAAACAGAAGAAACTGAGCAAATAGGGAATAAGAAAGTGAAGGGACAAATACAAGAGGTAGTGAGTACTGGGACAAGCACGAGACGTGCTGGGACAAGTACAAGACGTACTGAGTGCTGGGACAAGTACAAGACGTACTGAGTGCTGGGACGAGTACAAGACGTACTGAGTGCTGCGACAAGTATAAAACGTACTGAGTGCTGGGACAAGTACAAGACGTACTGAGTGCTGCGACAAGTATAAAACGTACTGAGTGCTGGGGCAAGTACAAGACGTACTGAGTGCTGCGACAAGTATAAAACGTACTGAGTGCTGCGACAAGTACAAGACGTACTGAGTGCTGCGACAAGTATAAACGTACTGAGTGCTGGGGCAAGTACAAGACGTACTGAGTGCTGTGACAAGTATAAAACGTACTGAGTGCTGCGACAAGTATAAAACGTACTGAGTGCTGCGACAAGTACAAGACGTACTGAGTGCTGTGACAAGTATAAAACGTACTGAGTGCTGGGGCAAGTACAAGACGTACTGAGTGCTGTGACAAGTATAAAACGTACTGAGTGCTGGGACAAGTACAAGACGTACTGAGTGCTGCGACAAGTATAAAACGTACTGAGTGCTGGGGCAAGTACAAGACGTACTGAGTGCGGAAAACAGAATAAAACGTACTGAGTGCTGCGACAAGTATAAAACGTACTGAGTGCTGGGACAAGTACAAGACGTACTGAGTGCTGTGACAAGTTAAAAACGTTGCTGAAGTGCTGGGGCAAGTACAAGACGTACTGAGTGCTGTGACAAGTATAAAACGTCTGAGTGCTGGACAGTACAAGACGTACTGAGTGCTGCGACAAGTATAAAACGTACTGAGTGCTGGGGCAAGTACAAGACGTACTGAGTGCTGTGACAAGTATAAAACGTACTGAGTGCTGGGGCAAGTACAAGACGTACTGAGTGCTGTGACAAGTATAAAACGTACTGAGTGCTGGGACAAGTAAAACGTACTGAGTGCTGGGCAAGTACAAGACGTACTGAGTGCTGCGACAAGTATAAAACGTACTGAGTGCTGGGGCAAGTACAAGACGTACTGAGTGCTGCGACAAGTATAAAACGTACTGAGTGCTGGGACAAGTACAAGACGTACTGAGTGCTGTGACAAGTATAAAACGTACTGAGTGCTGGGACAAGTACAAGACGTACTGAGTGCTGGGGCAAGTACAAGACGTACTGAGTGCTGGGACAAGTACAAGACGTACTGAGTGCTGGGACAAGTACAAGACGTACTGAGTGCTGGGACAAGTACAAGACGTACTGAGTGCTGGGACAAGTATAAAACGTACTGAGTGCTGGGACAAGTACAAGACGTACTGAGTGCTGGGACAAGTACAAGACGTACTGAGTGCTGGGACAAGTACAAGACGTGCTGAGTGCTGGGGCAAGTACAAAACGTACTGAGTGCTGGGACAGGTATAAAACGTACTGAGTGCTGGGACAAGTACAAGACGTACTGAGTGCTGGGACAAGTACAAGACGTACTGAGTGCTGGGGCAAGTATAAAACGTACTGAGTGCTGGGACAAGTACAAGACGTACTGAGTGCTGGGGCAAGTACAAGACGTACTGGGTGAGAGAGGGAACACAACACTGGGTGAGAGAGGGAACATAACTGGGTGAGAGAGCTAACACAGTACTGGGTGAGAGAGGGAACACAGTACTGGGTGAGAGAAGGAACACAGCACTGGGTGAGAGACGGAACACAGTACTGGGTGAGAGAGGGAACATAGTACTGGGTGAGAGAGGGAACACAGTACTGGGTGAGAGAGGGAACATAGTACTGGGTGAGAGAGGAACACAGTACTGGGAGAGGAAACACAGCACTGGATTAGAGAGGGAACACAGTACTGGGTGAGAAAGGGAACATAGTACTGGGTGAGAGGGAACACAGTACTGGGTGAGAGAGGGAACACAGCACTGGGTGAGAGAAGGAACATAGTCCTGGGTAAGAGAGGGAACACAGTACTGGGTGAGAGGGAACACAGCACTGGGTGAGAGAGGGAACACAGTACTGGGTGAGAGAGGGAACACAGTACTGGGTGAGAGAGGGAACACAGTACTGGTTGAGAGAGGGAACTTAGTGCTGGGAAAGGAGGGAGCACAGTACTGGGTGAGAGAGGGATCACAGTACAAGGAGAGGAGGGAACACAGTACTGGGTGAGAGAGGGATCACAGTACAAGGAGAGGAGGGAACACAGTACTGGGTGAGAGAGGGAACACGGTACTGGGTGAGAGGGAACACTACTGGGTGAGAAAGGGATCACAGTACTGGGTGAGTGGGAACACAGTATTGGGTGAGAGAGGGAAGACAGTACTCGGAAAGTGAACACAGTACTGGGAGAGGAAGATGGAACACAGTACTGGATGAGGGAGAGAATACAGTACTGGGTGAGGGAGGGAACACAGTACTGGGAGAAGGAGGGAACACAGTACTGGGAGAGGAAGAGGGAACACAGTACCGGGAAAAGAATCAGTAATGGGAGAGAGAGAGAGAGAGAGAGAGAGAGAGAGAGAGAGAGAGAGAGAGAGAGAGAGAGAGAGAGAGAGAGAGAGAGAGAGAGAGAGAGAGAGAGTTCTGCGAGTGAGGCAACACAGTGTTGGGAGAGAGAGGGGGGGACAGTACTGGTAGACAGCGAACACAGTACTGGGAGAGAGAACACATTACTGCGAGAGAGAGGGAACACATTACTGGGAGAGACTGAGAGAACACAGTACTGGGAGAGAGGGAATATAGTACTGGGAGAGAGGGAATACAGTACTAGGAGAGGGAACACAGTACTGGAAAAAAGGGAACACAGTACTGGGAGAGTGAACAGTACTGGGAGGGAACACAGTACTGGGAGGGAACACAGTACTGGGAGAAAAAGAAGGAACATCACTGGGAAAAAGAGAGATATATAGAACACTGGGAGAGAGGGAGTAAGTACTAGAAGAGAGGCGGAACACAGTCCTGGGAGAGAGACGGAACACAATACTGGGATAGAGACGGAACACAGTCCCGGGAGAGAGAGAGAGAGAGAGAAACACAGTACTAGGAGAGAGACGGACACAGTAATGGGAAAGGAAACAAGAGGGAAGAACATAGCACTGGGAGTGGAAAAGGGACGCAAGAGTACTGGGAAAATGGGAAAGGGAACAGAGTACTGGGAGAAAAAGAGAATATAGAGTACTGAGAGAGGAAACATGGAGTACTGTGCGAGGAAACACGGAATACTGTGAGAGGAAGCACGAGATACTATGAGAGGATGTATGGGGTACTATGAGGAAACAGTACTGAAAGTGGGAAGGTAACAAAATACTGCGAGGAAACAGAGTACTGGGAAAGTGGGAAAGGGAACATATAGTACTAGAAGAGTGGGGAAGGACGGTACTGGGAGAGAGGGAAGAACCAGAGTTCTGAGAAAGTGGGAGAGGGCACACAGATTACTGGGAGAGGATGGTAGAGTACTGCGAGAACAGTGTAATGGGAACAGAGGAACACAAGTACTGGGGAACGTAGTACTAGGAGTGGAAGAGTACTGGGAAAAGATGGTGCTGAGAGAGTAGTACCGTATGAACAAGCAGTAGGCTTCACAAAGATGAAGGAGAAAAAGCGACTAGCTATGCCTGAGGCTAGGCCTAGTGTGTATATGTATGGGACACACCTGTGTGGTAGATACACTTTTAGTAATGTACTTACCGACTTGTAAGACGCCATCTACCATGCCAGACTCAACGAGGCGGAGGCCACGATAGAAGGGCAGACTCTGCTGGTCACTGCCCACCGAGGAGAAGCAAGAGTACATCCTGATGTCGGCCTCATGCCTCGGGAAGGACCAGTAGATGATCCGTCGCTGTACGGGCTCGGGGATTCGGCTGTACCGCTCCTCTATCCGCTGGAACGGTATGTGTTCAGCCACTATTTTGGCACAGATATCTAGCAAGGATTCCACACTACGCACTGGGTTTCCACCATTGACTTGTGGGCCGCCGAGGCCAACATCACCACCGGCCATGGCCACTTTATGGCCCACGTGGGCCGCACTTCCCTCCATCATGTCCTGCCTCCAACTGGCTGCGTGAAGCTGCTGCAGACCTTTAACCCGAGACAGCGCAGGAGCAGCTAAGACTCCTCCCCACGACGGGCCCTGCACCGAGCGTGGCCCCGCCCACAGCCCCTCCCCCCAGGGCCCAGCAGAAGGCGTAAGAGTAGTGCGATACACATGTGCCAGCTGCGACCCTGTGCCATCTGCCTGATACACCCACGGCGGGTTGCCGCACCCAGGATAACTTCATGCAAACACTTCCATCTATTTTATAAACTTATAAATTCCCTTGTTTATAACAAATTATTTTACACTTATAATACTAATATACGTTTACATCAATTAAATTTTAATCCGAGTAATACACAATCATCTGTAATACTCGGGTATTAGTTCATTCTGTTTCCTTCCTTTTATAAAGTTATCCTTCTCCCGACTCAGCATCTTCCTCTCCCAGCAATTTTTCACTGTAATCATTTCTTTCTCGTGATAAATAGGTTGCCTAGATACTTGCAAGGAAGTAAAACAGAGAGTCATTTGTTAGTGGGAACGGCCTCTGCTCTCACTCTCAGAGCAGAGGCAAGCTGCAGCTGCTGCTCTCTACTGTCTCACAATACCTTTCAGCTGGTCACTAGAACAAAAATACTCGTCTTGATGAAGAATTAGACACGTGCAAAATCTGGGTGTCTTTATTGCCGACGTTTCAACCTTGGCTAAGGGATTGATTACCTCATCGCTTGCATATAGTCCTACTGTCTTCCAATTATGCTCTTGAATTTGTATTGATAAAGCCACTGGATGGCGAAACGTCTACAATAAAGATACCCAAATGTTGCACATGTGTCTAATTCTTCATCTTGTCGGTATTGTATACCATACATGTACTACCACTCGCCTTGATGCTGAAGGGCTCTTGATCCAAGGAATCTGAGTTCCCCTCATTTTCTAGACCGTGTATAACGCCTAGGGAATTAGCGGTTCCCTGTGAATACAATAATATATGATCAAAATACTTCTCACAATCTGACAAAAACTACTAACTCCCTTAAAACCCACCCAGAGTGGTCAGGAAACTTGACTTTCTTACCTCCCTTCCTGTCTACCCACAACCTTCCTTACCTCTACCTTCCTGTCTACCCACAACCTTCTTTACCTCTCTCTTCCTGTCTACCCACAACCTTCCTTACCTCTTCCTGTCTACCCACAACCTTCCTTACCTCTTCCTGTCTACCCACAACCTTCCTTACCTCTCTCTTCCTGTCTACCCACAACCTACATTACCTCTCCCTTCCTGTCTACCCACAACCTACATTACCTCTCCCTTCCTGTCTACCCACAACCTTCCTTACCTCTCTCTTCCTGTCTACCCACAACCTACATTACCTCTCCCTTCCTGTCTACCCACAACCTTCCTTAACTCTCTCTTCCTGTCTACCCACAATCTTCCTTACCTCTTCCTGTCTACCCACAACCTTCCTTACCTCTTCCTGTCTACCCACAACCTTCCTTACCTCTCTCTTTCTGTCTACCCACAACCTTCCTTACCTCTTCCTGTCTACCCACAACCTTCCTTACCTCTCTCTTCCTGTCTACCCACAACCTTCCTTACCTCTTCCTGTCTACCCACAACCTACCTTACCTCTCCCTTCCTGTCTACCCACAACCTTCCTTACCTCTTCCTGTCTACCCACAATCTTCCTTCTTCCCCCTTTTTTCCTGTCTACTCAAAATCTTCCTTACCTCTCTCTTCCTGTCTACCCACAACCTACCTTACCTCTCTTTTCCTGTCTACCCACAACCTTCCTTACCTCTCTTTTCCTGTCTACCCACAATCTTCCTTACCCTCTCTTTTCCTGTTACCACAATCTTCCTACCTCTTTTTTCCCTGTCTACCCACAATCTTCTTACCTCTCTTTTCTGTCTACCCCACAACCTTATTAACTCTCTCTTCCTGTCTACCCACAATCTTCCTCACCTCTCTTCTCCTGTCTATCCACAACCTTCCTTAATAGCTCTTCCTGTCTACCCACAATCTTCCTTACTTCTCTTTTCCTGTCTACCCACAACCTTCCTTACCTCTCCTTCCTGTCTACCCACAACCTTCCTTTCCTCTCCCTTTCTGTCTACCCACAACCTTCTTCACCTCTCTCTTCCTGTCTACCTATAACCTTTCTCACCTCTCTCAACTTTTATCACTGTTCCCTCCATCTCCAGGTCATCTTCCCATTCTCGTCATCCCTCTTATGGCCTAACAATCCATGCACGAAGACACTGTTGATGACCACATGAGCTGCATCAACCAGTAACACTGTCGATGACACAAGTGCATCAAGCAGTATGTATTTTGGCTTAAATAGCACTTCTTGCCGAATAAGGCAAGCGAAAATTTGAGTATGCAATAATTTCGCAAAAATCATTCTGAACATAACGAAAAAAATATATTTCATTGTGTTTGTTTATTATTTAATTATTGTAAACTTATCTAAAATATATTTAGCTGGATTAGGTTAAATTAAATTGCGCTAGTTATAATAAGGTTAGGTAAGTTTTCTAAAGTTCCTTTGGTACTAAATTATTATTTTTTACAGTAACATAAACGCATAAGAGAAAATTTTAGAAAGGACTTAATTTTAAATGAGTTCTTGCTAATTGGCCAGTTTTACCTATTCGCCACGACACACACACACACACACACACACACACACAACAATGCAACAAAATGCAAGGAGGCAGAGGAGAGGTTTGTTCCTAAGGGAAACAGAAATAATGGGAAGAACAGAACGAGTCCTTGGTTCACCCAAAGGTGTAGGGAGGCAAAAACTAGGTGTACTAGAGAATGGAAAAGGTACAGAAGACAGAGAACTCAGGAAAATAAAGAGATTAGCCGAAGAGCCAGAAATGAATATGCACAGATAAGAAGGGAGGCTCAGCGACAATATGAAAATGACATAGCATCGAAAGTCAAGACTGACCCGAAGCTGTTGTACAGCCACATCAGGAGGAAAACAACAGTCAAGGACCAGGTAATCAGACTGAGGAAGGGTGATGGGGAATTCACAAGAAACGACCGAGAGGTATGTCAGGAGCTCAACACGAGATTTAAAGAAGTATTTACAGTGGAAACCAGTAGGACTTCAGGAAATCAGAACAGGGGGGTACACCAGCAAGTGCTGGATGAGGTACATATAACCAAGGAGGAAGTGAAGAAGCTGCTATGCGAACTTGACACCTCAAAGGCGGTGGGACCAGACAACATCTCTCCGTGGTCCTTAAAGAGGGAGCAGAGATATTGTGTGTGCCATTAACAAAGATCTTCAACACATCATTTGAAACTGGGCAACTCCCTGAGGTTTGGAAGATGGCAAATGTAGTCCCAATTTTTAAAAAGGGAGACAGACATGAGGCACTAAACTACAGACCTGTATCACTAACGTGTATGTATGCAAGGTCATGGAGAAGATCATCAGGAGGAGAGTGGTGGAGCACCTGGGAAGAAACAAGTGTATAATTGACAACCAGCATGGTTTCAGGGAAGGAAAATCCTGTGTCACAAACCTACTAGAGTTTTATGACAAGGTGACAGAAGTAAGACAAGAGAGAGAGGGGTGGATCGACTGCATTTTTTTGGACTGCAAAAAGGCCTTCGACACAGTTCCTCACAAGAGGTTACTGAAAAAGCTAGAAGATCAGGCACACATAACAGAAAGGCACTGCAATGGATCAGAGAATACCTGACAGGGAGGCAACAACGAGTCATGGTACGTGACGAGGTGTCAGAGTGGGCGCTTGTGACAAGCGGGTTCCACAGGGGTCAGTCCTAGGACCTGTGCTGTTCTTGGTATATGTGAACGACATAACGGAGGGATAGACTCAGAAGTGTCCTTGTTTGCAGATGATTTGAAGTTAATGAGAAGAATCAATCGGATGAGGATCAGGCAGGACTACAAAGAGACCTGGACAGGCTACAAGCCTGGTCCAGAAACTGGCTCCTTGAGTTTAACCCTGCCAAATGCAAAGTCATGAAGATTGGGGAAGGGCAAAGAAGACCGCAGACACAATATAGTTTAGATGGCCAAAGACTGCAAACCTCACTCAAGGAAAAAGATCTGGGGTGAGTATAAACACCGAGCATATCTCCTGAGGCGCACATAAATCAGATAACTGCTGCAGCATACGGGCGTCTGGCAAACCTACGGATAGCGTTCCGATACCTCAATAAGGAGTCGTTCAAGACACTGTATACCATTTACGTCAGGCCCATACTGGAGTATGCAGCACCAGTTTGGAATCCACACCTAGTCAAGCACGTCAAGAAATTAGAGAAAGTGCAAAGGTTTGCAACAAGACTAGTCCCAGAGCTACGGGATTGTCGTACGAAGAAAGGTTGAGGGAAATCGGCCTGACGACACTGGAGGCCAGGAGGGTCAGGGGAGACATGATAACGACATATAAAATACTGCGCAGAATAACACGGTGGACAAAGACAGGATGTTCCAGAGATGGGACACATACACAAGAGGTCACAATTGGAAGTTGAAGACTCAGATGAATCAAAGGGATGTTAGGAAGTATTTCTTCAGTCATAGAGTAGTCAAGTCGTGGAATAGTCTAGAAAGTGAAGTAGTGGAGGCGGGAACCATACATAGTTTTAAGCGAGGTATGATAAAGCTCATGGAGCAGGGAGAGAGAGGGACCTAGTAGCAATCAGTGAAGAGGCGGGCCAGGAGCTATGACTCGACCCCTGCAACCACAAATAGGTGAGCAAATAGGTGAGCACACACACACACATATGCATATATATATATATATATTTATATATATATATATATATAAATATATATATATATATAATATATATATATATATATATATATATATTATATAATATATATATATATATATATATTTATGCAAGGAATTCGCAAGAGCAGGCGAAATATAACACAAACACTGATCTCGGCTGAAGGAGACTCGAGCCTACGCACCTTGGAACAAGGTACGCAGTGCTTTACCAATCTACCCACACTGGACA